TGCCGTTGTAGGGGGGCTATACGAAGAAGTGGACCTGCACAGACAATTTTCTGTCATAGGCTGTAGTATTCATTACGAACTACAAATCCCATATTTGAAACAATTCCGGTGAAAAATTTGCTAAAATCATCAAAATACCGGATATCGGGAGGTACCGTTATATGGGGGCTATACCAAAACGTGGACCTACATGGCCCATTTTCAATACCAAAAGTCCTACAGACATACATCTGAGCAAAACTTTATTAATCTACTTCATTTCGTTCGGAAGCTAGAGTGATTTTCACAGACGGACGGACATCGCTAAATCGACATAGAATTTTATGCTCATCAAGAATATTATAGTTTGTGGGGTCTAAAATGTGTATTCGAGGTGTTAAAAACGGAATGACAAACAAATAAAAATTTCAAAAGCAGTAAACTATATAATATACATAACCAGTTAAGAAAGTCTAAAAGTCGGGCGGGCCGACTTTATGATACCCTACACCCCTTTGCAAATTTAGTAGAGCTTCACAAAAAAAAATAAAATTTAATTTAGTCCGAAGGAACTAATGTATAAGAAGAATATACTCCTCTGAATCGATTTCTATTACATTTAAATTTGAGCCTTTTCAACTCCGGCTTATATGTTAATATATTTTGTGCACAATTAACTTGAAATCGGATAAAGATATATGGGATCTATATACAAATCTGAGCCGTATTTAATATATTTCCCCGAATATCGTTTTTACGGAGTGTATATTACGGCTGTGGAGAATATATACATGGGAGCTATAGCTATATCAGAACCGATTTCGATCAAATTTGGCACACTTATATTCAGACCTAATTTGGTCGTATGTGCAAAATTCCACATTCGGTTATTACATGTTTGGTGCACAATAAAAGGCAAATCGGACAAAAATATATATGGGAGCTATATCTAAATTTTGACCAATTATCTCCAATTGCAATAGGATTCGTCCTTGGCTCAATCGAATTACTTGTGCAAAATTTCATCTGGATCGGGCAATAAATGAGACCTGTACTTTGTTTACAAAAATACATGGACAGATGGATGGACATGCATAAATCGACTCAGAATGCAATTCTATGCAGATCATCAAAATTAACTATGGGTCTATCTCGATTCCTTTATTTTCAGACTTTTCAGATTTTTTTTTGCAAATTTGATCAACTTGCAAATGTATCGGCTATTTTTCAATAAAAGGAAACTCTTTCTGCCAATAACATCCAACATATAATAGTGTCCTCTGATTTAAAACATTTCGCCTCTGCAGATATTTTTTCTGTATTGGTCTACTATTTGACATGGGAAATACAGCAGTATCTTTTTTATTCTATATTTCAAAGGCTTCAGGCTCGAATTTTAAAATTGGCTGTTAATTGTCAATATGGTAACATATTGAATAAAAACTAGAGAACGAAAAATTTTCCGAATTGATTCACACATTGAAAAACCAAAATATAACGCCCATAAGTGGCGCTCCCCACCCCAAGTGGTGTTCGTATTCATAGATACATATTTTCGTATAGCCTCATATAACGGTACCTCCCTATATCCGATATTTTAAAGATTTCAGCGATTTCTACCTCCTGTAGAAGGCCATTGTATACATTGTTTTCATATAGCAACCATATAACTTTACATCCCGCTACTCAGTATTCTGATGATTCTAGCTTTACTTTTTTACTTTTTTTCTGCATTGACCTGGAGCTGCAAGGCTACCTTTCCGAGCAATGGCAGACATAATCTTTCAATATCATCTATAAATTAAACAGTTTATAAATAATTTTGAAACACTATTTGTTTACAATTTACAAACAAACACACATTTTGTTTATTTATTGCATCAAATATGCATGTAAAAATAAACAATTTTATTACATTCCATGTGCAACTTCTTGACATTTAGCAGAATTTTCCAATAAAATTGTAAGAGTTAATGTGTGGATGTATGTGACCGTCCTCTATAGTATATATTGGTCATTGACAAAAATCTGCAAAAATGCATGTTTACAATGATAGTAGAAACATTGGAATAGAAAATAGCTTGTACTGGACTAAAATCATTTAAAAGTGGTCGTAGTTAAGTAAAATATTCCAAAAAAAGTATTTGTCATAAAATTCTGCTGTATGTCCCAGAATACATCTAAAGTCTATATCTTACCTGAACGTATTCGAACACAAGTGAAAATTATGTTATTATATTATGAAAAGCAGTTAAGTTCGGCCAAAGATTGAATATTCTCCACAATTTTGAGGGAAATTTTAAAAATTCCAAATATCAGACGTCACAGACGATGACATTGCCTATTTGAGATAATTCTGTGGAAAAATTTAGCTATTTTCATCAAAATATGGAATATACTATATACAAGGGGTTATGAATGAATGGGGGTTGTCCCCATTACTAGCTCCAAATACAAAATTTGTTACAATTCCTGTAAACAATGCGACACAAATCATGAAAATATCATATATCGGAAGTACAGTTAAATGGGTAGTAGATGTAGTCTCGGACAGTTCTTTTTACAGATGTTTCCTACATATAGGGACTAAAACGGTAAAACATCACAATTTCATGCATAAGAATAGGGCTAACTCGGTATAAAATCGAATGCTGATCAAGAATATATATCCTTTGTAGGGTCTAAAATGCTTATTTCAAGGAGTTACAGTTAATGATAAACCGCTTCAAAGTCGATTTAGCAGATATTCCCAATATAAAAGAATATTTTTGTGGATAGCTCTTCTTAATATGTACCTTTACTTATTGGGTTCTCTTCAAATTTTCCATATGTAATGTGAAGAGATTATTTGTCACGTCTTTTTTTACCAGTAGCCATATGGCTGCTGAGCATATATATCATGTGATGCTCCAGAAACGTGCCTCAATGAAATAACAGTTTAAGACCCTAGGTCTCTTTGGGACAAATCCGTTTCAGAACATTTGGATTCGATCTAGGGGTGTCCATCCGTCCGTCGTCTGGATGGATGACTGGCTGGTGCGCACGATATTTCTCAAAGGGACTATCCTATTTGATCCAAACTTGGTACGTCGTAATGTTATTGGCAAACTTATATTGAGTTCAGAGATGGGCAATATTGGTCCACTCCTTCTGGTACCTCCCCCGCAAATGGACAAAATTGTCAAAGAATATATTTTACCATATAGAAGACGAAATAATCATCAAATTTTGTGCAATCTATGCAATTCCCAATATCTGCATAAGTACTATGACAGGTGTGAAAATGGGTAACATCGGTTCCATCCATCATGTACCTCCCACAAAAGCGCTCAACATTTATAATAATTATAACTCTTACGAAAAGAGAAACAAGCATCTGATCCTCTTCAAATTTCACACATCAACCAACAAAAAATCTGGAGTGTAGATGGGATATATTGGCTCAATCCTTCTGGTACCTCCCCTACAGAAACGTCAAAAATTTCGAATAACAAAACGTTCATAAAATGCAAAATGAGCACCCGATTATTTTGGCACATCCCAATATTTCTATCAACAAAGGAACAAGTGTGAAAATTAAATATGTCGGTTCACTCCTTCTGGTACCTCCACTACAACGGGTCAACATTTTGAATAATTATATCTCATACATCTCATATAATTTGAAACAAGCATCAGATTCTCTTCAAATTGCACATATGTCCATATTTCTATTAAACCCAATATCAGTAATGAAGATGGAATATATCGATTCACTCCTTCTAGTACCTCATCTCAATATTTCTCTTAATACAGGATATGGTCTGAAGATGATAGATATCGGTCTACCTCTTCTGGTACCACCCCTATAAGGGTTCATAATTTTTAATATTTATTTCTCTGATAACTGGAGAAACAAGTTAGCGATTCTATTCCAACTTGGTATAGAACAGTGTTGGCATGTTGGTTCAGGATACCATAGTATTTTGTTGTTGCAAAATGGTCAGGCTTAATCCCAATATTGTTGTTTTTATAAAAACAACGTTTGTTTGTAAGTGGAGAACGATGGTAATGTTTACCAGGGGGTAAGGCAGGGAATACTTAGGGTCGGAAAGAGACACCAATCCTCATCAGTTCCCTTGTTTTTTGTCTGGGACATTCTCCCCAGAAGTTGTTTTAAAAATAACTTTTATGACAAAAAACTTTTTTTACCCAAGTGACGAGATCGTAAACTCAATAGAAGAGGAACCAAAGAATTACAAATAACTAAAATTCTTTTGAAAAATCTTCTAAATCGTTCATATAAACATTTTTATCCTTCTCCTTACATCTAAATATTTTTCTCAACCCGAGATCTGATGTGCATATGGAATTTTTCTGTCCACTACTTCCGGTATCTTCCCCACAAAAAACTAACATTTTTATTTAAAATTATTTGAAATAAATGTTCGACTTCTTTAAATTTTATATTACGTATAAAGTGAAGAGAGCAGTCGATATAATCCAAATCCGACACGTTTATATACGACTTATATCAGATTCGAAATGGACAATATTGGGCAACTCCTTCGGAAACTCCCCCATAAGGGCTCAATATTTTGAATAATCATATCGGAAGTCAAAATATATTTAAATAAACGGACAATAAGTGATTGATACTACTGAACTTGTTATTTTGATATTTTTGTTCCATAAGACTAAATTGAAACCTCTTCCCTGAAAACATATTAACTGTTAAGTCCGCTATAGTTAATTTTTCTTATTTAATGCATTTACCAGAGTTTTTATTGTTATATTCTTTAAACCAAAAAAAAAAAAAAAACACAAATTTCGTCACATATCTTTGTTAATATTAGGCATTTACTTTTACTAATTAACATTTAAGTGTTAATTACTTCATTTTCATTTCGCTTTCGGTTTTCTTCGGTGGTCGTTATGCTGTTTAGCCACATAACGGTTATTGCCAGCTTCTACACTTTATGTTTGAATACAAAAAAATCTCAAGCTTATTTGTTTGTTGTTTTTTTTTTTTTTTTTTGCAGTTATTACGGGAGCCACCGACGGCATTGGCAAGGAATACGCTAAAGAGTTGGCCAAACAAGGCCTAAATGTGGTGCTCATTTCACGTACCAAAGCCAAGTTAGTGGAAGTTTGTAATCAAATTGGTAAGTTTTTTTTTTTTGGTGAGGAGATATGTGAAAGCAGACAGACGGACGGACTACTTATCTGATGCATATAATCAAATTTTGGCGGATTTTAACGGTTGACTGAAGAAGCTTTTGTAATGTTTGGTTTTTATGTTATTTTTTTCATTGGCTTACAGAATCTGAATACAAAGTTAAAACGAAATGGATTGCCGCCGACTTTTCCAAGGGCAAAGAGGTTTATGGCCACATTGAAAATGAATTGGCGGGCATACCAGTGGGTATTTTAGGTAAGAGCAAAGAATATATATCCCATATCCTCTCTTAAAATTAAATGTCTGCTCTCCTTTCCAGTCAATAATGTTGGTAAAATGTACGATTTTCCCGATGCCTTGGAAAATGTCCCGGAAGATGTGTTATGGGATATTATCAATATCAACATTGGTTCGGTTACCATGATGACCCACATGATCATACCCAATATGAAGAAACAAGGTAAAGGTATTATTGTAAATATCTCCTCGGGCAGTGAATTGCAACCTTTACCCTACATGGCTGTATATGGCGCAACAAAACGTTTTGTTCGAACCTTTAGCTTGGCCATTGAACAGGAATTGGCCGAACATAATATCGAAGTGCAATGTGTCACCCCCTTGTTTGTGGTGACGAAAATGAATCAATACTCGGAGACGGTAATGCAGGGCAGTTTAATGGTGCCCAGTGCGGCGGCATATGCAAGATCTACAGTTTTTACATTGGGTAAAAGTAAGGAGACAACGGGTTATTGGTCACATGGTTTGCAGGTAAAAAAAATTAAAAATGTTAAAAAAACGTTAGAAAATTAAGGACGCCATTTTTTCAAAAGGATCTTACGTAATTAATTTTACAACTTTTTTTTAATTTCTTATTTTAGTATTTCATTATGAAATTATCTCCCGAACGTGTGAGGACGCGCATTGGCGGCCAAATGTGCAAAAAGCTGCGCCAGGAATATTTGGATACACAACTCAAAGAGAAGGCCATGTAATTTGAAAAGACTTCAAGTACCTTAGCTATGTATAAGTATTTTCTGTTAAATTAATATTATAAAATTTTAATGTATATACATAATGTTTGTAAGAAATAAAGAGAGAAATAAACAATGCTACTCAATTTCAAGGTCATTGTTCGAAAGGGAGAAATTTAAAATAAGAAAATATCTAATCCTTTTCTCCTTTTGTCCTTTTGTCATTTCCTTTCGTAAAATATTTTGAAGAGACCTTCTAATGATGGAAAAAATATTCCCCATTCACTATATATGGAATAACTTTTATAGGTAATAAAATCTCTACTATGAACCTTTATAAATATATAATATTTCTTAATCTTCTATGAACCTCCCAGAAGTCTAGTACAGACAGATTATTTGGAGAGAAAATGGTTTAGCGATCTAGACAACGCACGGTCGACGAAGGGGATTTTTTTGTAACTTACATGGTTATGCTATTTCGTTCGTGTAAAACGAAAGCATAACAAGTGGAGAAAGATGAAAATGATGAATGTTGTAAGATTTAGTTTAGTTTAGTTTAGTTTATTTCATACAAGTAATGCAAGAAGCTGTATTTAGCCGAAAATATACATTACAAATACATACAATATAGCAGCATACAAAAATTCATTTCAATTTTGTGATATAAAATTACTGTATCAAAAAGTGTGAATATCTAAACATATATCAGTAAAACAATTGGTTCCCCAAAAATAAATAATATAATTTAATTTAATTCAATAATGATCATTATTTTTAAAGAACTGCTACATAAGAAGAGGTTACAGTCTAGTTCAAGTTGCAGTGAATGATATGTATTTATTTTTAAATACACTGGATGGATAGACAAAAGTACGAAGCTGGACAGGAAGTACATTCCATGTCCGAGCAACCCTAACAATAAATGATCGTTCAAACACTAAGGAGGAAAAGCGTGGAATAACAATCTGTGTATGACGGGTTGAGTGAGAAAAAACAAAAGTGGTACGCAATACTACAGGAGAGTTAGACTGAATAATTTTATAGAATATCATTAATAAACGTTGCTTAACATATGTATTGAAAGTCGAACCTAAAAATAGTATTGAATAATTTGAGACGTGATCATAACGTTTTAGCCGATAAACGAAACGTAATACCATATTATAGAGTTTCTCAATCTTTTTAATGTTCTCTTGGCAAGTTCCAGAAACAACCTCAATGCAATAACTAATTCTGGACATAAGTAAAGCATAACCTAACTGCTTTCGAACAAATTGAGGCAAATACATATTATTACAATACAATTGACGTAATGTAGACATAACAACTGCAAACAGAGACTGAATATGGCTATCAAAATTTAGTTTATTATCAAGAATACAACCCAAACATGTCATCTCATCAACACATACTATGCTAGAACCATTCATATTAATTTGAAGCCTAGGACTTAATATACATCTCGTTGATTTAAAAAACATATATTTAGATTTTTCCACATTAACAGAGAAGTTGTTAACTATAAGCCAATGATTAATTGACTCTAAAGTGGAGTTAATATCTACTTCCAAATTAGAAATCAAACTATTCTTAAAAAACAAATGCATGTCGTCAGCATAAATGAACGGTGCACAAGGGTGACTACTGATCTCGTCTGCGATATCATTTATATACAATATAAAAAGAAGTGGCCCCAAAACAGATCCCTGTGGGACACCACTATTAATAACTAGTTCCCTAGATGATGTTCCATTAAGGCACACAAACTGTGATCGGTCATGCAGATACGAATATATTAATTTACAAGCAGTGCTACTAAACTGAAAGTTATTCTTCAACTTTTGTATCAGCAATACATTATCGACCCTGTCAAAAGCTTTCGATAAATCAAGAGCTACAAGTACACCAAAACTGCCTGAATCAATAGCCTCCCTTATCGTATCCGTGAGGTGAAGCAAGTGAGTGACAGTGCCATAACCACGCCTGAAACCGAACTGAAAATCGCTCAGTAACTTTTTATCTTCAATGTAATCCAAAATTTGAAACTTCATAAGATGCTCTAATACTTTAGAAATTGCAGGGAGAATACTTATAGGACGTAAACTTTCCATACTATTACATCCTTTGTTCTTGGGAATAGGGACCACACGTGCACTTTTCCAACAAGAAGGAAATTTAGACGTCATTAAAATAGTATTAAAAAATCGCACAAAATAGGCAGATAAATATGGATAGACAAGCTTTAGAAACTTTACAGGTATGCCATCTGATCCAACAGCTTCGGACTTAATAGCACCTAAGGCACGAATAACGTCACTATCAAACACACAGTTAAATGAAAAAGAATGGTCTTGGCCAAGATACCCAGTGAGATCCACGGGTCTCGGTCCCAAGGAGGAGGGAGGCTGGACAAAAAATTCGTTGAGAAGATTAACATCAAACGTATTCTCAATAGAATCTGAATCCTCGCCCAAACAACCGCCAGCACGTATCTTTTTCCACATTTCAGCGCAATTCAGACCTGCAAACGAATTTAAATAGAATTTTCTCCTCTCTTTCCTCAAAACGGATTTGGCTTTGTTTCTGTATACACAAAATATTTTCCAATTTTCCGACAAAGGTTGCCTGAGATACTCATGATATGCCATATCACGTAATGATCGAGATAACATAACTTCTCTAGAATTTAACCAGCCATCTAAACAGCTACTAATACGCCTGCGAACAATTGGGACAAATGAAAATAAGCCACTGAGAACATCATTTAAAGCAAGTATTTGCAAATCTACATCCGAAGTCGCAAAAGCCTCTTCAAGATTAAAACTAGTTAGATACTGAAAAATTCCATTCCAATCGATGTTTCTGAAATCACGATATTCATAATATAATTCTTGTGGTATTATAAAAAAGTCAATTGAGGCAAAAATTAGAGAGTGGTGTGAAATTGATGGACATTGGACTTGGGACGAATATCTTAGTGATGAGTATCGACTCACAAGCATATAGTCGATTAAGGAAGACGATGAATGAGAAACATCAAAATGCGTGGGAAGGGAATTATGTACTATCGAAAGACCCAACCTCATCACTGAATCTCTCATTTTCGCGGACTTAGAAATGTCAAATAAATTGTTATTGAAATCGCCAACCACAATAACATTAGCGTATCTTGCAAATAAATCACAATGAGACTCCTCAAACACATGGACATCACCATGGGGCAAATAAACCACACCAAAAAGAGTCTTTTTTACGCCACTTCCTAATTCAATAAATAACGATTCACAAACACCGTAGTTAGGCGATCGGTATACAACCTTGAATTTAATATTTTTAGAAATAAATAATCCCACGCCACCTCCTCTAGCAATTGGACGATCATTCCGTACTAGAGTATATCCAGCTATTGAGACTGTTTTGGATGAAACATAACCCTTCAACCAAGATTCTGAAACACCAAATAAGTCGAGGCCACTATTGCAGATGAGACTGCTCAAATCATTTATCTTTAAATTATTATTAGATGGACGAATACTCTGACAATTTATGTGACCAAACGATAGTTTATTTTTGAACGGATAAAGTTGATTCCTAAAATAGGATGCAGAGTCAACTATTGGTCCAAGGTTAATGTTCATAACAAAAATGAATTTAATTGGGGAACCAAAATTAAAAAAAAAAAAAAATATATATATATATATACAATTTCTAAATTAGAAAGAAAGAAAGCAAAAAAAAAAAATTTAAAATAATTTCACATAATTTCTCAGAAAAAATCAATTAGTTAAACATGGGAAATTAATAATTGTTGCTATTAATGTTCATATGTGCAGCAGTCACCGGATTTCCACCAACAACGTCATTATTGCTTGAAGAATTTTGACCTTCACCATTGAAAACGTCACTCACTTCATTAAGCTCTCTTAGAATCTGCTCACATTCGTTTAAGTAGATTGACTTGGATCCACCTTTAATAAAGGTAACCCTGGCATAGGGTCGGTCTCCATTAATTATCTTATACGAGGACACTACATTGTTGTCTATAAGTTTTCGGCAAGCATCAACCAATGCGACAGCATTAGGGGTAAAGTGATCGAAGAGGTGAATACGAGACTGAATGTTACCACCAATTACATCCCTAAGTTGAATAGGGTATCGATGGTGATAGTTGGCCATTATCATATCTCTAGCCAATACTGAATTAAGTTTAACCAGCACCGACTTTCCGCCTTCAAAGTAACAACAATGTTGAATATCACCCATGCCTAGATTTACATTACATAAATCGAAAATCGCCAAGACAGCTTGAGTTATGTCGGCTAAGCCCTTAGGAAGTCCTTTCACCACAATGTTTGCACGATTAAGGCGTCTTTGCAAAACTGCGTTTTCTTTCTCCATTTGTTCTACCTTACTTTTGAGGGCTTCGATTGTCATTCTGCATTGATTAATATCTTCTGTCAGCATTGTAAATATAGCAGTATTTGCAGCAATTTTCTCATTGCAGACTGATACGCTTTCCGTTACATTGCGGAGCCCCGCCATAAATTCGTTCCGAAATGATGCAAATAAACTATCAGCCATTTTCTGGAAGTCATCTGCATATCTTTTCATTTGCTCGTCAATACTTTCCTTCATTGTTTTGGCCATATCATCAAATAAATTTTGCATTCGTTCATTATTACGATCAGCCCATATCTGCATCACATTGTTTCCTAAGTCAGACGTTGTGATATCTGATGCAAATTCACTCTGATGTGTTGACGTGCTGGTATCAGCATCAGGAGTAATATTAGCACAGGACGCTCTAGGTTTAGTACAAGTTCTGCAGGTGTACTTAAGAGTTTTATTGTTTTTAATTTGGGAAACACTGTAGCCAATGCACTTTGGATGGAAGTAATTCACACAATCAGAACAACCAATGCTATAAACGCCTCTGCCAATGGTTAATTTACAAACTGGACAAATGCAGGCTTTGACACTGCTTCTTGTGATTTTAGTATCATGTGTTCTTTTTTGCACAGGTACCGTTGCCATAATTAAATGTAATAAACACTGTTTATATTTTGATGCTCGTTCTATGGCGTGTGTGTATGTTTGCGTACAAATGTTTTTAAGAAC